GCCAGGTATGGTGGTCCACTGCCTTTTAATCCCAGCGACTCTAGAAAGTGAGGCAGGAGGATGGAAAGTTCAAGGCCAACCTCAGCAATTTAGCAAGGCTTTAAGTAACTTAGCAAGACCCTGTCTCAAAATAAAAAGTAGAAAGGGCTGGGGTGTAGCTCAGTGGTAGAGCACTCCTAGATTCAGTCACCAGCAAGAAAAATAAAAAATAATAATAGCCAAAAAGTGAAAATCCAATGTCAATCAACAGAATGTTGTTTGTCCATAAGAAATGAAGTATTTGTTAGGTGCAGGACAGGCTGAAAAAGTTGTCTGCAGGGCATGCCAAACAAAGTTAGCTGCAGGGTGACCTGGCCACTCAAACCCTCTGTCTGGTTCTTTATCACCTGTTTGCTTCAATCCCAAACGCCCAAGCCCCCGCTCAAGACTGAACACTCAACCCCCCCCGCCCAGGCTGAACACTTAACCCCCCTTGTGCCAACAAGGCAGCTTGCAGACCCAGAGACCCTATTAGAATTTGGCTATAAAAACTCCCTCCTGTGGGGCCCCTCTCTCTTGCTCTGTCTCTCTTGCACGCGCTCTCTCCCTCTCCATCTCTCCTCTTCTCTTCCCCTCCCCCCCCTTTTTCTTTCTCTCTGTCTCTCTTTCTCCTCTTTTGCACTGCTGCAATAAAGCTCTCTTGGTCGCTCTGAGTGTTGTGGTCACTTTCCTTTCAGTACTCATACATGCTACAACAAGAACGAAACTTGAAAAACTGTGCTAAGGGAAAGAAGCCAGTCATAAAAGACCACATACTATACAATTCAATTCATATGAAAGTTCAGAATAAAGCCAGATACAACGCACACCTGTAATCTCAGCAACCCTGGAGTCTGAGGCAAGAGAACTCCAAGCCAGTCTCAGCAACTTATTAAGGCCCTGTTTCAAAATAAAAAGGCTGGGTATGTGATTCAGTGGTAGAGTACCCCTGTTTCAATCACTGATACCATGCAAAGGGGACAAATATTAAGTTCAGAATATGGAAATTTCTGGAGATAGAAAATAATAGTTTCTTATGAATGGTGACAGCATGGGAAATTGGGGGCAGGTGATAGCTAAAGTATTGGGTTTCTTTCTTCTCCTTCTCCTCCTTGTATACTACCAAAATTAAAAAGTAGGATTTATTCATTTAAGAAGAAAAGAGAACTCTCACAGGGCAAGAAGGGACCCCCTTAGAGTTGCCCTAGGTGTCTGTTTGAGGTGATGAAAAGGTTCTAAAATTGGCTGTGGGGATGGTTGCACTTATCTGTGAGTTGTGCACTTTGAGTGAATTGTACATAAATTATATCTTAATAAAGCTGTTTTTTAAAAAAGTGTCATCCATCAAGTCTGTGAGTCTACATCTTAAAAGAGAAGCCTGGGTTTCCAAGTAAAGACTTGAAAGTCAAAGTATGTGGATGGTAGTTTAAACTGTAAAAACAGATACAATCAATTTGGAAGAACGTGTAGACTAAAAGGAAAGAGAAGCTAATGAAATAAATGGTCAATGGGATGATATAAATTCAGCCATGGAAAACAGTGTCACCGAAATTAGTATGATTGAGTATCTTGAAGACATAATTATCACAACCTCAAATTCAATAGGACAGCCCAAATGAGAATGGGAAAATTTAGTGCTAATGGCAGTTGTTTGGGTGGGAATAGTAATGGTATTCACCAAGGAATGGATACAAAAAACCAGATCATGGAGGATGAGGCTTTTGGTCCCCTATCCTTCACTAAAACTACTCTTGTCAAAATCTTAAATCTCCATTTTTTAAAAGTCTGTTGGTCAGTTTTTAGTCATCTTCGGTCTTTTGAGTGGGAGCGATGCAGCTTATCCAGCACATCATGGAACATTTTTGGGAATGTGTTTTGTAAGACCTTTCACTCCTGATTTTCTTAGCTTTCTTTCCTGACTACTCCTTTTTGATAATTTTTGCTGAATGCTCCTCTTCTCTGACCCTTCTAGTTGGAATGCCTCACAATTAAAGGTCTCAGTCATTAGATTTCTTCTTTTCCACATTAACTGAGCCCTCCCCATCCCATTGCTATCTATATCATTTATAATTTAATGACTCCCCAATTTATCAGTTTTCCCTTCTGTGAGCTCCACATACATATTTCTAATTGTTTATTCAGTAGCTCCATTTAGAAATTTAATAGGCATCTCCAGTTTAACATCTCTAAAATAGAACTGAATGTTTTCCCAAAAAAACTGTTTCTATTCCCCCATATGCTCAGTAAAAAGCCTTGCTATTTATTCAGTTACTCAAGTCAATCTGAGATATCCTTGACTCTTTCTTACATCTAACATTCAATCTATTAACAAGGCATTTCTATGCCACTTTCAAAGTATATTCTGAGTCCAACCACTTCATATCATGTCCATTTTAACACTAGTCTTGCAGGTCTGCAATAGTTTCCTCACTGGTTTTTCAGCTTGTATTTTGCCTCCTTGCAGGCAGTTAAAAAAAATCAATCAGGCTGGGCACACAGATGAACACCTATAATTCCAGCAACTCAGAAGGCTGAGACAGGAGGATCACAAATTCCAAGCCAGCCTCAGCAACTTAGCGAGGCCCTCAAAATTAAAAATAAGACAGAATCACAGACTCTGAGACAGGAGTCATCTTTGTTTTCCGTTTGCTAGCAAAGCAATAAAACTTTTTCCTTTTCCTCAAAAATAAATAAATAAAAAGGGCCGGGGGATGTGGCTCAGTGGTTAAGTGCCCTTAGTTTTAATCCCTGATGCCCAAAACCACAAAATCAACAAGAATGAACCTCTTCAGCCAAGCAACTCTTGAGCCTGAGACAGGAAGATTGTAACAACTTCAAGACCAGCCTAACAGGCTGGGATTGTAGCTCAGTGGTCGAGTGCTTATCCAGCATGCATGAGGCACTGGATATAAATGAATAAATAAAAAATAAAGGTCCATCAACAACTAGGAAAATATTAAAAAAAAAAAAAAAAGACCAGCCTCAGCAACTTAGTGAGGCAATTCAGCAAGACCCTGTCTCAAAAAATAAAAAGGATTGGGGCTGGGATTATGGCTCAGCAGTAGAGTGCTCACCTCGCATGTGTAAGGCCCTGGGTTCGATTCTCAACACCACATAAAAATAAATAAATAAATAAAAGTTATTGTGTACAACTACAAAAAATATATATAATAAAAATAAAAAGGATTGGGAATGTGGCTCAGTGGTTAAGTGCCCCTAGGTTGAATCCCCCATTCCAAAAATATTAAAAAAAAAAAAAAAGAAATGATGTGACTTTTACTCAAAATCCTGTGTGGCTTCATAGGATAAAATTCAGTCTCTCCTTGGTCTATAAGTCTGTAAGTGACCTGGCTCATCCTCCAACTAATTTCTTTACGTGCTCTTTTGCTCACTGGCTTTCTAATTAAGCACACTCAAGCTTCAAAGTCTTTAGCTTGCTTATCCCTCTGACTGGAATGCTCTTTCCCAAGTATGCATGGGTCATTCTCATAGTTCAGGTCTTTATGCATATGTCACCTCAATAAAGGGGCCTTCCCCAAACTCCCAAAGTAAAAGAGCACCCCCCATAACCCACTTTTATTTTCCTTTACAGTACTTCTCATAATTTTGTGCTACTCTTTGTCTCTTCTCACACTACATTCCCATCTACTCCAGTAGTCAGTTCCATGAATGTTAGAATCTTGGTTTTATTTACTGCTGTAACCCCAGCACCTAGAACAAACCCTCCCAAATAAGTAGTACAGTAAGTAGTTGACTAGCAGAAAGAATAAATTATAATGGTCGTCATAAAATAGCTACTTTGCACTCCAGCCCTGTTTTACGTGTTAAATTACAAAGATTTTTTTTAGACACAGTTCCTGCCCCCAGGAGCTTATATTCTATAGGATAGTTAGATTAAAAATACATAATTATGTATTAAATATTATAGGCAAAAAGTTGTGAAAAACGTAATACAAGCTGGTGTACTAGACCTGATTTAAGTGGAAAAATCCAGTCTAATAAAGGTTTAGTAGATGCGCAGTCCAAGAAAAGGGAGCAAGCCTTGGGGCTGGAATCTGCTTTGGTCTGAGTGACAGCCAAAAAGGTCAGAGCAGAGCTAGGCAGTGTGAGAGGAGATAAAATCAAAGAAATAAGTGCCAGATCATGTAGAGCCTCGCGTGGAGGTCACTGCTAATTTTGATTTTTATTATGTAGCCAGACACTATTAGAGGTTTCGAGCAGGGGGCTATGACCCGACTTCCATTTTAAAAAGTCACTCCAGCTGTCCTGATTAATTGCAGCAGGGCAGTGATGGAAGCAGAGCGCCTATTGCACCAAGTAGTGAAGTAATGTAAGACTTGGAATAGGATGATAAGGGTAGAAAGGTCCAATTCTTGCACCCTGACCTTCTGGTTAAAAGGGGCGGGGAGATAAAGAAATAAAAACCGACCGATCGATGGATCCCCAGCCTGGCAGCTGGGAGCCATCCTCTACAGGATTCCTTTAGGTGTCAGAGCGAAGCTGAGTGTACAAAAATCACGCTTCGTCACCGACCCATTCTTGGGAACCTTCACATCACCCCTCTTCGAAGAAAGCCTCCTGAATAGCTTAATTGCACCTCAAACTTGAGCCCCTTTTACAAAGACGGATAAATAAGGACTGTCGGGAACGTGCGCCTCCTTAAGCCGCTGACGGAAACGAAAGTCGTCAGAGGAAAGGGTTTTTTTCAGAAGAAATCTGTCGATAATTGCTCGTTCCGGGTGTGCAAGAATGGTGGTCACCCAGGAATTTGCCTACCAGACCCTTGGAAATGAAGTTTTTTTCCATCACAACTCGGGGAAGCCCCTAAATCGCACGTGTTTTGAGTTATCACAAGAGACGCCAGCCCTCCGCAACATTACGAAAACAACTTTGGCTCGTCGGTAATGCGCACGCGCCCCACACAGTTTTCCGTTGACTTTAAGCCCCGCCCCTTATGCGTCCTCCGTGGAGGGTTGGGAGCCGTGAGCTCGCCCGACCACTCTTTCCTCAGTCTTCTCGAGCACATCGTCGCAAAGGAGGCCGGAAAGCGTGGCGGCGCAGGCGCAAGCGCAGAGAGCGGAGGCGGTGGTGGTGGCGGCCGCTGGCCAGTGTAAGATGGCGGCGGCGTTGGTGGCGGCAGTGGACGGGACGGCTGGGCCTGGAACAGTCGGAGCAGCCGCTGGCAGAAGGATGACCCAAGACGGGAAGCGGGCTGCTGAGCCTCGCCGGCTCCCGTGCTTGTAACTGCCCCAGCCGGACACCCCCCCCTTGACCTACCCGGTCCGTGTCTCGTCCCGGCTCGGCCTGCCCCCCTCTCCCTTGCCGGTACCCCACAGAGTAGTCCTGATCCCTTTTCCAAGATCCTGGGGCTCAGGTCTTCTCCTTCCCTTGACTCGAGTCACTGTCAGGAGGACCGGTTGTCCTATCTACAGGTCTGTCCTGGGGTTGCCCCCAAAGCCACCCCCGTAATTCACAGGGACTTCTTGCTTCGTCGGGTGACCCATTTGTGTGCTCTTATTTCTCCCTTTAGATGGGGGATGCGAGTCGCCCTGCGTCTCCCCGTCACCTCGGGGCCACCGCGCAATGTGTCCCCCTCCCCCATCCCAAGTTCTCAGGCCCAGCACCTTGTACGGAATGCCGAGGTCCAAGGAACCCGGAGTCGGTTGTTGCCGTCTGGTCTTGTCCTCTTTAGGATAGGATTCTCTTAGTTTACCAACTCCCACCTCCAAATCGTTTAGGACACCTTAGAACGGTCCCGTTTGGTCCCTGTTAGTTGGAAAGCATCTGGCGGCTTGAATTTCTGACTCATGATTGTTGCTGGAGTCTTTGTAAACAAACCGGCACTAGCGCTATCACATTCTCTCCGATATTCCCACCCCCACTCCCTGCCCTGTGCGTTCTTGTTGAGAGGTTGTTTGGTTGTGGTTTAATGTTGAAAAGAGTCAGGTTTTCCTTCTAAATGACTTCTGGTTTTAGTGGAGCTAGGATATCTTAGCTTGCCTGGCTTCTAATCCTTGGATTTGTTCATTTTATTTCCCTGTGTATGGGATTATTGTTGAGCTGTCAGATAAGTTATTCTGGTTTTAAATAGTTCAGAGGAGGTCTAAAAAAAATACTAAAATGTACTCATAAATATTTTTATTATGTTTAGTAGAATAGACACCTTTGCCATGTAAACTTTAACTTTTCTCAGTCCTTCAGTGAATCTGCAGACCTATTTTCTCAGGAGTTCAGCCTGGCCTTACTTCAGTGATAAAAGGAGGAAAGGTGAGTGGGAGTTGAAGGCATTTAAATTCCTAAGTTCTAGAGAGACCCTGCCCTGAAGCTTAAGTGTTGACCACTTAAGTCAAAATTCCTATCACAATTTCCAAAAGAGTTTGGGTATTGTTCTTGGCTGCATTCCAGCTTTGGTTAAATTACTTTTCCAAGTTTAATTTGCTGTGTTTTGACTTTCTGTCCTAGACTATGGCTGTCTGTATTCAAATGACTTAAGCCTAGAAGTGAATGTGTGTCCCCCATCCCGTGTCTCCCTCTTTTTTCTTGTTCATTTGTCTTGTGTTTTGCCTTTGTGTGGATCATGTTTCTTAAACTGTAAAAAACTAAGAATTATTTTGCCTGAATTCTGTTCAGCCCTTTGTCAAATCAGGTTTCTTCCCCTCTCAGAGGGCTCTGGGTTGTCATCTTTGCCATTTAGAGAATAATCACTTGTAACTAACTAAAAGCTGAGGGATGGTGAATGATGCTGCATTTATTTGGTGTCTCAGACCTGTCTCTGAATTCCAACTTTTCAGAATATAGTGGGGAAATTTTTGGTTAAAAAAATACAGTAGGGCTGGGGATATAGCTCAGTTGGTAGAGTGCTTGCCTTGAATACACAAGACCCTGGGTTCAGTCCCAGCACCACATACAAACACGCACACACACAAATATATATATATATAGTGGTTGTACCTGGTCTGAAGAATTCTTAGCAGAATTATCCAGTGCATTCAACAGTATGAGAGAAGAGTGCTAAGGTTGAGGTTCATAAGGTATGACAGAAAAGCTGACTGGCTCTGGAAGGTAGGCTTAGCCAATTCATAGTATTTATGATGATTCTTTTTTTATTTTCAGTACTGGGGATTGAACCCAGGGATGCTCTGCCACTGAGCTTTATCTCCAGCCCTTCTTATTTTTGTTTTGAGTCAGGTTCTCATTAAGTTGTTGAGGCTGGCCTCAAACATGTGATCCTCTCACCTGAACCCCCTGAGTAAGATTACAGGTGTGCACCACTGCACCTGGCTATTATTTTTTTGATTTGTAGTAGGAAACAGTTAAAAGAGTGATACTGGTAAGGTTTTTTCCCACATGGTGCCCAGATTAGAATGTGCTCATTACAGACTGGATTATAACATTTTTAATGATGGTGTATATGTAAGTTAATATGTAAATCTGTCATAGACCTGGGTTTAATTTTATTGAATTAAGATTCATTAGTTGTGTGACCTTAGGTGAGTTATTTAAACTTCTTTCTTAATTTCTACATCTTTAAAAGTGGGATAATACCACTTACCTTTCATAGTCATTGTTAGTATTATATGGGAGAACCTATATAAAGATCTTAGATTATGCCTAGCATATGGTACACACTCAAAAAAATATTTTGTTTTCTCTGCAGGTCATTGAAACAGCTTTGAGGGTTTGGGGTTGTGGCTCAGTGGCAGTGTGCTTACCTAGCACACATGAGGCACTGGGTTCAATCCCCAGCACCACATTAAAAAAAATAATAATAATAAAGAAATAAAAAATATTTTAAAAAAAGAAAAGAAACAGCTTTGAATAAGTTATAAATTCATTTATACTTATTTGCATTTTGTTTTAGAACACATTTTTCTGATTAAATTTTTAAGTTTTTTTTCCCCCTTTGGACTACTGGAGATTGAACCCAGGGCCAGCAAGTTTTATATCTGAAAAAATAAGAATAAAAAACTGGTTGGCGGGGCTGGGGATGTAGCTCAAGCGGTAGCATGCTCGCCTGGCATGCTTGCGGCCGTTCGATCCTCAGCACCACATACAAACAAAGATGTTGTGTCCGTCGATAATTAAAAAATAAACATTAAAAAAAAAAAACAACTGGTTGGCCATGGGGGTGCACACCTGTAATCCCAAAGACTCAGGAGGCTGAGATAAGAGGATCACAAGTTCGAGGCCAATCCAGGGAACTTAATGATAAGTGCTAAGAAAGTCCTCTTCTGCTGAGCTCCCCATCCCCTCATTCATTTTTAATTGTTCACCTTAGATATGTACTTTGCAAATGCCCACCCAGGGTTGCCTTCTGAACCCCTTTCAGGACAAAATGATTAGGGTTCAAGACCAGAGGATAGAAGGAATACTAGATATTGGTGTATGTATATTTCCAAATGTATTCTTAAAGTCAGCATCAGTCATTTCCTTTGTTTGTTGCTTCCTTCCTCTTGTTCTCAGCACACTTGATCCAAGTTGTCAGTGATGTAAAAGAAAGAGCCCTTCTGTAATGTTGCCCACCTGTACTGCAGCTACCGCTTATGCCTTTCATTTTAGTCATAGAGAAAATACATTTTCTCCAAGATATTAACCTTATCAATGGATTATAAAAGATTATTAAAGATCTCTTTATTTAGGCAATGAATCAGTACTAAGAGGTTATGAATACAGAGTTGTTTTTTATTTTACAACGACTTTTTTTTTTTTTTTTTTTTTTGATACTGGGGCTTGAGCCCAGGGACACTTAACCACTGAGCCACATCCTTATCCCATTTTATTTTTTATTTTGATACAAGGTCTTGCTAAGTTGCTTAAGGCCTCACTAAATTGCTGAGGCTGGCTTTGAACTTCTGATCCTCCTGCCTTGGCTTCCTGAGTCACTGGGATTACAGGCATGTGCCACCCCCTCTACCCTCAGCTTGGACCATTTTAGTAATAAAACAGCACTGTAAAGAATTTAAACCTCGGGCTGGGGATGTGGCTCAAGAGGTATGGTGCTCGCCCGGCGTGCGTGCGGCCCGGGTTCAAGCCTCAGCACCACATACAAAGAAAGATGTTATGTCTGCCGAGAAGTAAAAAATAAATATTAAAAAATTCTCTCTCTCTCTCTCTCTTTAAAAAAAAAAAGAAAAAAAAAAAGAATTTAAACCTCTCTGCAAAAGCGAAGTGCTAAGCAACTCAGTGAGACTTTGTCTCTAAATAAAATACAAAATGAGGCTGGGGATGTGGCTCAGTGGTCGAGTGTCCCTGAGTTCGATCCCCAATACCAAAAAGAAACCTTCTTTTGTGGGCTTCCACATATTTTTGGAAGAGCCAAGGTTACATGAAATTGCAATATACTGATGACATTGCACTGAAGGCAACTTTATTGGTTCAGACCAGTTGTCATTTCAGGGTTTATCAACTTTCATTACCACCATTGAGCTTCTGAATTGTCTATTCTAAGGTAAAGACTCTTGGGGGTATTGATGAGGTGGGCAATTATATTTTTTTTGAGATCTGGAGATTTGTGTTGTGTGGAAGAAGGGTCAGAGGAGAAAAGGAAATAGGTTAATAGAGGAATAACTGTTCTTTAATGCCACATGTGCTAATTAAGAATCCCACCTGCCAACCTTCAGGAGGAATTCATATTTTATGGTCCAGGTAACATCTTATTCTTATCCAGGGAATCATAGCTGTAAAATTATTATCTTTCTGTAAATACTTGTATACTTTATTTATTACATAAGAATTATGAAATCTTATTAGAAAGTATTTCCTAGTATGACTGGGGTAGGAGATTAGGTATGCCTGTGACTTCTTCATTCCTACCACCAATCTGATAGAGCATTTTGTAATACAGTCTATTAAAAAATGTGTAAGAAATCAGTCTCAGTGCCATTGTCCTTAGTGTTACTAAAATCGCCCTAAAGTTAGAAACTTCTCTTCAGAAAGAGCTAAAAGAAACCAGCCTTTTTGTTGCCACTTTAAAACAATCCTGGCATTTCAAAAGCAAACAGACTCTAATATGGTACATTTTATAGAGGTTACTCTGTTGTGGAAGTCAGATATTCAGTTTTATGCCCTAAGTCCTGAATCCTATCATGTGAATTATAGGCTTTAAAAGTCATGAAGTGACTAGTTATACAATTTTCAGATTTATTACTGGATTGTTTGTACTGTAGAAATGTTACTCTAAACATATATAGGAAATGTCCAGATTATAAAAGAGTAGGAAGTATCCTAACACAGGTTTCTTATTGTGTAACACTAGTGTTAGAATTATTTTTAAATTTATGTTAATTTGGCGGGGGGGCTGGAGATATAGCTCAGTTGGTAGAGTTTGTGCCTCACATGCACAAAGCTCTGGGTTCAATCCCCAGCACTGTCAAAAAATAATAAAGAATAAATTTATGTTAGTTTTATATTTCTGGAGTATAGCATTGGGTGTTTTGTTTTTGTTTCTGTTTTTTATTTTATTTATTTATTTTTTTTTTAGAGAGAGGTAGAGAGAGAGAGAATTTTAATATTTATTTTTTAGTATTTGGCGGACACAACATCTTTGTTTGTATGTGGTGCTGAGGATCGAACCCGGGCCGCACGCATGCCAGGAGAGCGCACTACCGCTTGAGCCACATCCCCAGCCCTCGGTTTCTGTTTTGATTTTTTTTTTTTTAGTAGGTTATCAATGAGCCCAGATGATCTGGTGTTTCTCCTCATCTATTTAGAATATAAGCATATGAATTAATTAAATTAGTATCAGGCATGGAGGTAGTGACCATGTGTACAATAGCCCCCTGCTTTCTGTTGTCAGCCACAATACAGAAATATTAAATGGGAAAAGACCAGAAATAAACAATTCATAAGTTTTAAATTGCTTGCTATTCTGCATAATTTGGTGAAACCTTGCCTTGACCTGCCTGGGTATGAATCGTCTTCTTGTATGGTATCCCTACGCTGTATACCCACTTATGCCTTGCTTGGCAGTCATCTGGGTTATCAAATGACTGCCAATTAGAAAATTGAAAAAATAGATATTTTCCTTAATAATGGACCCAAAGTGCAAGTGTGGTGATGCTGACAATTCAAATATGCCAAGTGTTTCTCTTTTATGTATGTGGTGCTGAGGATTGAACCCAGTGCCTCACGTATGTGAGGCAAGCACTCTACCACTGAGCTACAATATAACCCCAGCCCTCAGATAACTTTTATTATAACATAATGATATAATTATTCCATTTTGTTGCTAATCTCTTATCATGTCTCATTTATAAGCTAAACTTTAT